TCACAGGGCATCTGTTGTGGGGAGGGGAAGGGAAAGGAGTTTGTAAGCTGCTCTGAGACTCCAAGTGAAGAGCAGGGTGTAATCCAATCTCCTCCTCCTCCTCTTCTTCTTATCATGGATACGCCAGGGATTGAACCTGGGACCTTCTGCATGCTGAGCAGATGCTCTACCACTGAACCACAGACCCTGCCTAAATGATGCTGCCTTATCCTGAGTCAAACTATCAGTCCGTCAAGGTCAGTATTGTCTACTCAGGTTGGCAGAAGCTCTGCAGATGGAGGCATTTCCCATCAACATTCACGTGCTGATTGAGGTGTGACGAAAAGCACAGGGGCAGCAGGCAGTCAAAAGTTATTATTAATAATTTGGCCTTTAGCCTGCCTTTCCTCCCAGAAATTCAGGACTGCACCCTTTCCTCCTTTTTATTTGCACAACAGTGTCTGTTCCTGGAAAGGCTCCAGGGCCTTTATCCGCTGCCCGTGGGAGGGAATCTAAGGACAGCAGCAATAATAAATCTCGAAATCTGCCACGCCCTCGATCATGAACAAAATAAACAGGTCTCTCTCAGAATGGCTTAATGTTTAATGGGGCTAGCTGAGGAGAGGAAAGGAGGAAAGTCAATCAGGCAATGACTTTTCATGCAGTCGTTCAGAACTCTGCACGTGTTGCCTGTAAGAACATGAGAGAACGTAAGAGAAGCCCATGTGGGATCAGGCCAATGGCCCATCCAGTCCAGCACTCTGTCTGTCACACAGTGGCCAAAAAGACCAGGTGCCATCAGGAGGTCCAGCAGTGGGGCCAGGACACTAGAAGCCCTCCCACTCTTGCCCACCCCCCCGGCACCAAGAAGACAGAACATCCCTTGCCCCAGACACAAGAATATCAGAGACGCCCATGTTGGATCAGGCCAGTGGCCCATCCAGTCCATTACTCTGTGTCACACAGTGGCCAGAAATACCAGGTGCCATCAGGAGGTCCAGCAGTGGGGCCAGGACACTAGAAGCCCTCCCACTGTTGCCCCCCCCCCAAGCACCAAGAATACAGAGCATCACCTGCCCCAAACATAAGAACATAAGAGAAGCCCATGTTGGATCAGGCCAAAGGCCCATCCAGTCCAACACTCCGTGTCACACAGTGGCCAGAAATACCAGGTGCCATCAGGAGGTCCAGCAGTGGGGCCAGGACACTAGGAGCCCTCCCACTGTTGCCCACCCCCCTCAAGCACCAATAATATACTGCATCAGTTGCTGTAGATTCTCTGAGTTGTGTGGCCGTGTTCTTGGCATTGTAGAACCTGACGTTTCGCCACTGGCGTGACCAAATCCAAAATGGCTAGTATCACGTCTTCCAAAGTTTGCTGTAGTTGCTGAATGTTTCGGTCAGCCGTGTCTACATGCTCCATCAGTCCCTCGTCCGGGGACACCCGGCCACTCCGGGTCTCCGAT